CTTCCGCAGGCAGGCAGCGTGCGCTGGGACCACGCGGCCAAGTTTCACGTCTTGACAGAGGAGTCCAACAGCAAGCAGCAGCCAGGCCTGGCTTTTTCCCTCCAGACCGTCCCGCAAACTGTGACCAAACAAGGCCACCATTCCTTGGCCCCACAGAGGACCAGAGGCTGGGTGGGACCTGGACCTTCACGCCCGAGCTGCCCAAGTAACCCCCTCTCTAAAGAACAAGCGAGGCAGGGCCCGACAGCCACGCAGGCCTATTGGGCCTTTGGCTCCTCACTCCTCTGTGTCTTGGGGGTGGGGACAAGGGAAAGGGCTCACTGGGACGCCTTCCAGGCTGAGGGGGTAAAAAGGCAGCCGGGAGGCAGATCTCTCTCCACCATTCTTTGTTTCTGCTCCAGGCGCTGCTCAAGACTCAGCCCTGGAGGGGGCGGGACCCGAAGTTCTCCTTTCCCCAAAAGTCTCCCTGGTGTTCACCGGGGAACACAGATGGTCAGAAGAAATTCTGCCCTGCTCCAGGAGTAACTTACTCCTTGCTTAGAACTAGGCCTGAATCCTGTACTCACAACTAGGCAATCTTTCCAGGGGAACCCTTCCCCAAGGGGGACCCCCCTAAATCCATCTGAGGGGACTGGACCTCAGCTGAAGTCTTACTGACTGGACGAGGCCATACTACCACCAACAACGGTAATACCATCCTCGGGTTTTTGTTTTTTTGTTTTTTGATTTTTTTTTTTTCCAGGCAAAAGCAAAGCGCAGGCCCATCACGCTTGATTAAATCATATAATTAGGAACGACTTTAATGAATATTATTACATTTCCGGCGATTTCAAGAATGCCCTTTTCTTTTCCATGGGCATGCAGCATAAGCATAATGAGGTATTTGAGGTTATTAATAAAAACAGGCATGGTCTACTCAGGGTTCCAGCTCTGCAACTGTGAAGCGTTAGGGCTTTGCTTGCAAATGCGCCATTGAGTCCTAGGAACCCAACGGCGCACCCCTCTGTGGCTCCCCGCCTCCCCTACTTCTAGGCCTAGACGCAGCTAGCCCTCCGCAGGGATGGAACCAAGGAGCACAGAAGGGGTGTTTCCAGCCCCGAGGCCCTGCGCGGGGAGCTCAGAGGTGGGGGTAGATCAGTTTTGGGAGGGCATTTCTGCCTCGCTGGCGCAATCCATGCCTTCAGGGGTGGTGCCATGGCCCTATGTCAGCGTCAGTCCTTATTAACCTCTCAGTGTGAGGCGGCTCCCCCTGGCAGGCTGTAGTTTTCGATGGAGCCGGGACTCTCTTGAGGACTCTAGGGAAAGGGCCCAGGCAAAAGGAGACCTCAGAGGTCGGATATTAAACCAGCAGGAGACAGAATGGTTTTTAGCAGACGCCTGCCGAAAACTCTGCCTTTCAGCCTGCGCTCTGGGGCAGACAGGAACGTTTGCATACATAGCGCCTGGGCACTTGTTATGGATACCAGTCATACCAGTGTCAAGCGACCAGAGTCCTCCTATATTTGTCCTGTCCACTCAAGGAAAAAAACAAAAATAAAAAACCACAGAACTGGAACTCTTTGTGAGATCGAGCTGGGGGGGGACACCTGGGAGTCTCCTTCCTCCTCCTCAAAAGGCGTCTGAGGCCAGGTCCACACTGGATAGCCTGTGGGCACAGGAGACCCCTAATTTCTGACGATAGTGTAGGCCCCCAGAACCACATCAGAAAGAACACCTGATATGAGAGTGTCAGGTTAGGCTTTTCCTGTCAGCACCATGGCTGGGGGCCAGCTGATGCCCGGGCACCTCATAGCTCTCTCTGGGTTGGATTGTCCTGCTTTGCCTTCCTTTCAGTGGTTTGTGGAGAACTGCAGAGAGATGTACCAAGGTCCAGGGCAGGAGAGCGAGTGAGACCCAAAAAGAAAAGATTTCTTCACAAACGAACTTTCCCCTCCCCACCTCCTGCACAGGGTGACCTTATAGCCAGGGCCCAGGGGCTGGGCTCCTTGATACTGAGCTGTTGAGTCTCCAAAGCACACAGCAATGCAGAGGCTGGAACCTGGGGGTCTGCAATACCTACAAACACACCCTGCACTCCGAGCTGGTGGGAACTGGTTTTTGTTTGTTTATTTTTCTGCTTGCCCCAGGTGAGTGAGCAAGGCTGGCAGGGTACAGGTTCTGTGTGAGTCACAAGCTCTGGTAACTTGCATTTGAAGAAAAAGAAGAAGAAGGAGGAGGAGGAAGAAAGAAAGAAAGAAAGAAAAAGAAAAGAAAGTAATACTCGAAAGAGCAAGTAGTAACCTGAGGGCCTTCCAGTTCAGTCTCCTATCACAGATAAAACAGTTTAAAAACCCAAAAACCTGGCATTTCTGGCCCATTAGTGTCTGCTTGGCTGCTGTGGGACCTAGAAGCTCAGTACCCCACAAAGCTGTGCACCCTCCCCCTACCGGTGTTATGATTTGAAAATAGATGGGTGTTGTTATATTTTTATTAAAATGGAGGGAGGTCAACAGATTAATGTAAACTGTGCCATTGTTTTAAAGCTAAATCCTCGGAGGTAGGTAGAAAATGGGAACCCTGGTGTGCTTCTGGGGAGTGGCATGGTGCCCCCTCCACAGTGGGCCCAACCCTATTCCTTGAGGGTCCCCAGAGTGGCAGGGGCTAGGGTCCTAGGAATCCCTGATGGTCTTGTGGCCAGAGTCTTACTGAAACTGCCTAGAAGGTCGCCCTTGGCAACAAACAATCCTTGACACTGGGTTTCTCTTCCTGGGAATAAAAGCAAAACAACACAACTCTCTTTCAAGCCAAGAAAGTTTGAGAATATAGCAGTTTGGCTTCATGAACTGTGTAGAACACCGTGCCTCAGAGCTGCCACTTCAGAGCCTGTCCTTTCCCCAGAGTCCTGCAGGAGATAGATACCCTTTGCTTTGTGGGTGGAGGTGAGGAGAAGGGAAGTAGCTTTTAGGGAAAGACCCTCTCTGCAGGAGCATGAGTTCTTCCATCCAGCCCTCCCCCCCATAAAGGGGGGAGGGTGGGGTAGAAACTCCAGTGAGTGGAAGCCATGCACTTTGATTCATTTTCCCTGGAGACTAAATGGAGACAGAAATTACTTCCTCTGTCCTGTGCTTATATGCTAGATATTCCAAGGTCAGTACTTAAACTATCTCCTCTTGTTCCAAGGGTAGGTGCGGCACCTGGGCGCTAGGGAGACCACCTCAAGATGGTTCCTGAGCTCAGACACAGACAGGAAAAAAGTCCAGCTTCCACCACCACCATTTTATAATAAAGAGTCGTTTCTTTTTATTTAATGTAACTTTCAAGAATTTAAACACACGAAAATGCACGGGTGGGAATGTTCACAAGTTTGATAACCACAGTTGTAAGTAGGGAACATTCATCCATTTCTCATAAGATTATAAATATTTGATACTGTAAAATGCACATTTTATAAACTTAAAAAAGGACAGATTTGCTTCCTGCTAAAAAGGCATGTCGTTTCACCGATTCCCAAGCAGCAGACGGTTGTTCACAGACTTTTAAATTACAACTTTTGCTTTTATAGCTTCCTTTTCAGAAGGTTGGCACTAATATATACAAAGTGAAAGTATTGGCGCAGTGAAATAAAGAGATTTAAGGCAAGAGAGAGACCCACCGTCAGTCCTCAGCAGGCAGCTTGACGGCCAGCTCAGCCGAGAACACCCCTGGGCCCTGTGCTGGCCCCAGGTGGACATTTGGACACCTTTTCCCATACACTAAACAGAAGACAGTGTGGAGTTATATATAATGTGTTTGTTTATATATATATATATGTACTCGGTGAGGGATATATTGAATATATTTAATTTACACAGTACCACACCTTCAAAAAATAAAATGTATATTTTCTTAAAAAACAAAAAGACAAAAAGTGATAAGAAATGATTATTTACACACTTCTAGATTCAGGAGGGTTCCGAGTTCCTTTGAAAGTGAAGGTAGCTGCAAGCTCCAAAACCCCAGCTTCACACAGGCCTGGGGTGTGCGTGCACATGCATACACGAGTATGTACACATACAAGTATTTACCACTCAAAAATAAGTGAAAAAGAAAAAAAGAGGAAAAAGGAAAGGAAGACGTACCAACTCGCTCTGCCAGGGCCTCGAAGCTGATCTCAGGGGGCTTATGGGTCAGGGCTAGCGGTTTCCAAAGCGAAGCAAGCCAAGTGCAGCAGCGAAGCCTTCAAGTCACACTTCCCCTTCTTCCTAGATGCCAAGCACTGCCTACAGTGTTCAAGGCAGGAGAGTTGGTGCTAGCAGGTCACCATGGGGCTGTTGCAGGACTGGGGTCAGCAACACAGAAGCAGACACTCAGCGGTGGCCAGCGCAGGCCTCTGAGGTGCTTGGGAGGAGAGGCAGTACAAGGCATCAAGGCAGTGTGGAGAGGTGCCTGGAGAGCCAAGGACTTCCTCCGATCTTAGCCTAAGAATTGCATCCCCCCCCCCCCCCACTGAAGTCCAGAGCTCTCCATCACCACACTGGCACTTCCTACAGCCAGCCAAGCCAGCACAAAGCAATCGGCAGAACCCACAGACCAAATAGGAGCTATTTATTCGGTTCACAGTCCTGTGAAATGCAGCAATAAAAATTCTTTGGACTTTAGCAAGTTGTTTTAATTTTTTTCTTTCAAAAAAAAAAAAAGTGTCCGATGTCCTATAATGGAGCTTAGGGGATTAAAAAAAAAGAAAAAAAGAAAAAGAAAAAGATGAAAGCCTAAACAGCCCCCTTTGCAGAAAGAATAATAATAACAAAATTAGCATAACCTTTTTAACACAAAAAACTCAAAAATATTTTATAGTCAGATATTTTGGATTTTACACCATCTGTAAATTATATGTACATACATTATTGTAGAACCATAGCTAATACACGGGATTTTCACAGATAATGCTGGTATAATCTTTATACACTGGCCCTTTGTTCACGGTTTTTAAATTATTGCATTGTTTTTGCGAGGCCCTAGACCTGGCCGGCCTGCCCCACCCTGCTTGCCCTACTCGCTGTCCGACTTGCCCTCCTTGGCCGTGGTGGAGTGGTTGTATAGGCCCTGCGCCATGAGGTGCACCGCCAGAGTGTTCTTGTTGCCTGTGGCTTTCTTGATTTTGGCCCGCTTGTTCTGGAACCAGATCTTGATCTGAGACTCGTTGAGGCTGAGCTCCTGTGCCAGACTTTGGCGCCGCTGCTCGGTCAGGTACCTGTTGGTCTGAAACTCGGCCTTGAGCCTCTGCAGCTGCTCAGCGGTGAAGGCTGTGCGTGGCCTCTTGTCCTCTTTGTTCGGGTTCTTCTTCTTTGGTTTTCGGGACCTGGGACCTGTAGGAGAGAGGGCAGAGGTTACTAGCTGCTGGAGTCTATCTGCTTACTAGTTGCCCAAGTTTGAGAGGTTACAGAGAATCTGCAAAAAAAAAAAATGACTTGCCCAAGTCCACACAAGGGGGAGGGGGTGGAATGGCAAATTTTACTAAAAGGCCTAGGGAATCCTAATAAAAGCTAACCGAAGAAGGAATGCCCAACCAAAAACTTTCTGATCTTGTTCGTGTTTGCCCCCCCTCCCCCATTCCTTTCCAAGACTGTCCCAGCAAAGAGGACCTGACCTGGTAGGTGAGTGGAGAAAGGAGATGGGGTCAGTCAGGGGGAATCCTGGCCCCTTCCTACATAACCTCCAACAAGGAGGGCTCAGGACTGAGCCATCACCAGAGCCCCCTTCTGTGTGGCCTGGTGAGCCCAAGTTCATTGTTTCCTTGAAGGACTCCAATGGAGCACCTCTACTGAGCCTCTGGAATCTCCTGCTTTAAATCCTTCCCTCCAGGAGAGAGGCCTGGTTCCTACCCAGGTGCTGACCATGGTGGCTTGTCCCTCTCACCTCCATCCCAAGCCTGGGACTGCTTTAGCAGAAGCTGGTCACCTGCTCACCCAACTGACCTTGGGCAAGTGACCCTCCTATCAGTGTCCTCACAAAGGGTCCCACCCCCTTCTCCCTATGGAGTTGCCAGCGGTTGAGGCAAGTGTGGTGGGCAGTAGGGTCCCAGGATCTAGCCCTCCTAGGGAAAGGGTAAACTGCTAAGAATGTTGGAATACAGGGTTCTCTTTGTTGGGGTCAGAAGATCACAGGGTACTGGAAAGGCCAGGCAGACCACCAGCTAGAAGCAGAGACATTTCTAGGTCTGTGTCGGTGCAAGGAGCATGAATTAACTTTCAAGGAGCTTTACAGTCCTTCCATTGAGGCTCCTTCCGCTAGAAGCGGAAGAGGCTGGAGAGGGCCAGACCCTCCCCCTTCATGGCTAGGAACTGGATGTTCAGCCCTGCGCTATGGGAGTGGCGAGGGAACCGGCTGTTTGGTATCTAACTCCTTCACCCACTGCCTAGAGAGGTACCCATTCAGGAATCAGGGGCAGCGGACAGATCCAGGGCAGAAGAGGACTCTCTCACTTCCAGCCAAATGGGATCTGAACGCTCTCATCAGAAGGCAAACCCGAAAGGGTCTGTGGGCACCAGAGGAGATTCAGAATGTACAGATCCAACTCCTGGTGTTTGGGGGTCACACACACCCGCCATGCCACACACTCACCTTCGCATCCATGCTGAAGGCAAGGGAGCACGGACTGGGCGCCCTTGGACCTGGCTTTCACCTGGCCACTGAGGCTTCCAGGGCCATGCACCGACCCTGGGACCCGCAAATATGCCAGGACAGGAGGCTAAGCAAGGAGGAGGCTTGGCCTACTCAGCCCTACCTCCTACTTCTAGAGCGGATTTCAGACTCCCCTCGTCCCCTCCTCTGGAAGCACGAGGTCTCTATGTTCCAGCCTCCTCCACGCTGGAGTTTGTGTTCTTTAACACACACTCCAGTCTCCGATAATTCTTATTTCGGAGAAAGAACGTCTCCTTAAATCCATACTTTCGGTTCCTCTTTCTGTGAATTCTCTTCTAAAAGGCAAACACTTAGGGGACCCGGAAACAGAACCAAACCTCAGCAAGTATGCTCTGCCCCTCCATTCTTTCTCAAACACCCAGGAAAGAAATATTACTTACAGGGAAGAGGTTTCGTTAAGCCTAGGAAAGCTGCAAGATGAACCACGCGGGCCATGCTGCAGAATCCGCCGGCCGCCAGGGCTCGGCGCAGCCCGGACTCGCGCGCGGGCTCCGCACAAAGCCGACCGCGACTCAAGGCCAGTCGGCTTTGTGAGCCTATATGTTAATTAAATATTAACAAAGGAGGGAGGAGAGAACAATGGAGCAAATTTCAGGTCTAGCAGCAAAAATTTGGATTTCATCAGGGCCATACCGGATACTGCAAGAAGGTAGTCGAGAGTGACCCAGTCTTGCTATGAACATGGGTAAAGGACACCCGTAAAACAACTGAGGATTCCGGGGAGGGTGGGTTAGCGGGGCCTCACTCAGCTCCCGGACAAATGAAACCCGTTGTTAATGGCGCTTCCTAACCATAGACCCGCATCTAATGTAGCTGGTGGTTTCTATGGGGTCTTAAAAATTATAAATGAATTAAGGAAATATGTCCCAAACCTCCTCACACACCCCTATCCCTGGAAACTGCCTCTTTCTTACTCTTGGCAGCACCATAAAACCCTTGCAGCTTCCTTTCTGCTAGTGGTATTTAGGCTCTGGGATGGATGCACCCTTTCCAAGCTGCCTACTGGCAGGATGCTGTGATGCTACTCATGGTTCGCCAAATAAAGTGACAAAGGGGAAAAGGTGTCTCCGTTTTCTCCACTTCCCTGTAGTCCTTCCTGCTCCTCTGCAGTGGTCACCCTAGGCCAAGAGTGGAGAAGAGCACACAGCCTTGGAATAATCTAGCTGAGTTTCCGGGTTCCAGAGTGGTGGTGGGGGGTTACACAGGACAAGTGCTCACTTCCTGAGCACCTTCCAGCTACCCCCATTCCCACTAAACAACTACTGCTACTGCAGGGCACGACATTAAAGGCAGCAAGATGTCCACAAAAGGGGACAGAGAGAGAGAAGTGAGAGAGAGAGAGAGAGAGAGATCTGTCCTAAGTCTGCTTTCATCCAGAGAACCAGTCCTGCTTGCTACTGCCTGGTCGCTGCTCTGTCCAGCATTGGCGAGACAGTGCTGCAGTCCGTTAGGAGTGTAAGCCTTTGTGTGTTCAGGAGAAAATATGATTCTTTTCCTCTGTGTAAGTTCCCCGGGAAGCGCCCTCCTCAGTCCCGCGGGTCTTCCCTTAGCGGGCTGGGTCAGCCGGTCCCACAGGCTCACCTGAAGAAGGCCGGTCAGAGTAGCGCGTGCAGTAGACCCAAGCCGGCCAGAGCATGGGCTGTGCGCCCAGGGTGGCGCTGGCTTGAGAGCTGTCCGAGTCGGAGCTCACCGACAGGTCACCGCCGCCTAAGCCTCGGGCCTTGAGCGCCCCATCCAAAGAACCGCCTGGGTCGCCCGTTTTTTTAGCCCCGCCATGCAGCGATAGTGTCTTGGAGCCGCCTTCTCCGTCAGCCGCAGAGTCGCCGCCACCGGCGGAGAGCGGCCCTCCGGCACTGGGCACGCATGCTGGGTTCGGCCGGGACTCCCCGGCGCCTGACCCCAGGATCTGTTCGGCTCCGCTTGCACCGCCGCCACCCTCTGTACCGCCAGCGCTGCCTTCGCCGCCTCTAGCTCCGCCCGCACCAGCACAGCACGTCCCGGTGTCCTTTCGGCGGCCGAATTCAGGCCGCAGAATGTTATCGATGAAAAAGTTGGTGATGCGGTGCGGATGCTGGTGGTTGCCTGGCGCCTGCAGGACCGCGGGCAGCATCAGAGCCCGCCGGCGGCCAGTGTCCGAATCGCCCGGGCTGCTGCCGCCGCCCGAGCCGCCGCCGGGGCTGGATTCCGGCTGCCTCTGCGCCTCCGCCGCTGCCTCGCTGGGCTTGGAATCATTCTCCTCCATGCTTCACAGAAAATCCCAAACCGCCTCTCCACCAACGCAACCTCAGACCGGCCCGCGGCACACACCGACACCCGCGAGCCCCCACCCAGCGGAGTCCTCCAAAGGCGCAAGCGGTGGCTGCGGCCAGGGCTGAAGTCTTACAGGTCGCCAGGAGCGCTCCGAGCCGAGCCACGTTTGGATCCACGAAGTGCGTTAACAAAAACCCAGAGTCCCCCGCCTGGCCAGGAATGCAGGGAGATTCAAAGGAGGTAGGTCCCGGTCTCGGCAGCGCACCCGGCTTTAGACAGTCACCGTACTCCAGCGGGGGACCTGGGACGTCTGCTCAGCTCCGCACTCCCCTCGGTGGCCGGCAATCTCCGGCTCCGGCGCAGCCGCCTCGGCCACCGCGGGTCAGAGCTGCACGCATGCAGGCAGCGCGCTCCCCGCGCTCACCGCCGCCTGGGCCCGCCCGGGCCGCCGCCGCTCGGCCGTCGCTGCCCGCCTGTCCCGGCCGGCCCTCGAAGCTGCGGGGCGCGAGCGCTCAGCGCGCCCGCTGCCGCCAGCACGCACATGGAGGCCCGCGGGCCCGCGCTGCGCTCCGCCCGCCCCGGGGCTCCCCGCGCCTGGCCGCCGCCCCGCTGCGGGCCGGGGCGCCCCACGGGCGAGCGGCTGCGCCCCCGCTGAGCCCCGCGCAGCCCCGCGGCCCGAGCCGCATGGGTGAGGGGCGGGAGGCTGGGCCGGGTGGGCCTCCCGCACTCCCTCCCGGTCCGCGCGCCCTCGCCGCCTCCGCTTCCGCGAGGGCTCGGGAAATTTTCAGGCCACTTAGAGCAACCTGAGACACTTTCACTCTGGATTTTTGTTCTTATTTTTAACAGAGCCCCCTCGAGTGACGTCGCGGGCCGGTCTCCTGGACACGTGCCTCGGGCCAATGGCCGCCGCGCCGCGCATCCACGTGACGAGCCGGCGGCAGCTCGGTGACAGGAACCTCCTGCCGCCCCTCCCCCGCCACCGCCTCCCCTCCCCCCCTTAAAGCGGCCGCGCTCAGGGCTGGGGGCGCGCGAGCCTGTAACGCAGTCAGATCCTCCACCGAGTCCTCAGTGCTCCGTAGCACTTCTTCGGTCCCTCTCGGCTCTGAAAACTGAAGAACCCTGTGACAGTCTCGCCAGGTCACTGCTACGCCTAAGTGAATAGACGTTGGAACATTGTTATTTTTAACATTCCTATATTGTTTACGGTGGGGAGAGATCCCACAATTCCTTGCACAAAAATGCATAAATAAGATTAAATGAGCTGGCGACATACAAAGAGAGGTTTGTAACCAGCTTTCCTTGCTGGTGGAGGAGAAAATTGTCACTTACATTGACTTTGGTTACCCGGCAGCATCGAGTCCTAATCGCCAGGCAAGAGGTGTCTCCTCCTACAGACACCTACTCTCAGCGAGCATGCCTGTGTCTGTGCAGGACGCGCATGCACAGGGAAGGAGTCCATCCTTGGACAGTGGCTCTTCGGGAACCCGAACATAGAACTTTATTATGCGAGAATACAATTTAGGGCTCCGTTTAAGGAAGGAGAAATAAAAGAATTGTTTAAGAAGTTTATAACTCAATCTTCTATTTTAGAAAGGAGTGATGACTGCTTAGCCAAATCCTCAAAACCATCCGAAGCAAAAGTGATCCTGAATGCTGCTGTGAATGCTGCTGTGCTAGCAATTCCACACACACACACACACACACACACACACACACACACACACACCCCCATCGATAGAGCTCTCCAATCCCTACCCTGAGCTACTAGGCCACCCACCTCAATACCTTTGTCTTAAAACATTTAAGCTGGGTTTTTCGGGAAAGCAAGGCTAATTTGAAAGAATAGGAATGCTGTGACAGGGTGGGGGCCCCAATTTGTTTTTTCCTTCTCTTGTCTTTATTCCCCCTCTAAACTTTTTTCCAGCTGCTGACAGAATGGCCTTTCTCTATTCTCTTCCTCCCACCCTCCCCCAGAGTCCATCCAGTTTGCTTTTCTCTCCCCACCAAACATAATGGTTACTACAGGATGGCCTGTCCATTTAAAAAAAGCATTTTTATGGAAATTTATTAACTTTGAGAAACACCCAGAAGGGCAGCTGAGAAGGCACAGGATTGCTGGCATAATAATAAAAGTCCTCAAACAGACTAGGATCAGAACAAAAGGAGGCTTGCCTTGCTGGGTGACTGGCCCCAGGCTGCTGTTGTTTAAACATCCTGCCTAGTGGGCTACCACACCTGAACTCCAGGTGGCACCTGTAAGGACCGGGCTGCCAGGTCCTGGCGAAGGGCAAGGGACATGGCTAGCAGCACCCAGGCATGGAGGCCTGTCAGGCCATCCGGACTTGCGGCATATCTTGCTGGCAGTTGTGTCTGGATTGGACCCACACCCAGCCATGTCCTCATTGTGCACACTGTCTACTTGGCAGGTTTCACCAGAGGTAAAACATTTCTAAAGGCTGCTGGGGGAAATTAGCCCACAGAGAAAACTCCCACTAGGACTCATGCTACTGGAGAGGGTCTTGGTCTAGGCAGGTGCTGAAGACAGACAAGGTGTCTAAATGGAGAAGCCACTCTGCATTGGGGAAGGGTGTGTCTCTTCTTGCCTCTATTTTGCTCTTTTGAAGTGGTAGGGTTTGTTGTTGTTGTTTGAGACAGGGTTTCTCTGTGTAACTGTCCAGAGTGTCCTGAAACTCCCTCTGTAGACCAGACTGGCCTTGAACTCACAACAAGATCCACCTGTTTCTGCCTCCTGAGTGCTGGGATTAAAGGTGAGTGCCACCACTGGGCCTCACCAAGTTTTTGACTAGGAAAATACCTGTTGGGTCCTTCCTAGTGAGAGACAGAGCTGGGCAAGAAAGAGAGGAGGGGGAAAATCAACAAACCAAAGGGAAAAAACAAATAAACAAAACAAAAAACAAAAACAAACAAACCCAGAGTCTACCGACCCCTATGAGCATGGGATGGACCTGTGAGTGGCGATGGGAACATCCTATGAACAAAGCTATTTTAGGACTTGAACTATCAACAGCCAGTGAATGAACTCTCTGATTTCTCCTAATTAATACTCTTATCTCCTAAACTAGACCACAATACGGACTGCTAGAGCTCCAAGATTCCTGTATCCATTCCAAGTTCGTTTCTTTCCCTGCCTGTCCCATGAAAACAATCAGGCCCTCATCTGATGTATTTTCTAAATTCTTGGGAACCTCTGCCTGGGATAGATGCTCCAGCATTAGATAAGCCAAAGGCGCTGGGTTTTGTACTCTCCCTTGCCCCGGGCTCAAATTCAGGTTTGAAACGTAAACCCTGAAAAATAGCCTTGACCTCAGGAACTGGACTGTTCCTGGACCTGGGTCTCCCCGGGCAAACCCAGCTAGGCCAAGAATAGAGGTGAGTTCTCAGGATGTTCCCAAGAAGGGAGGGGCTAAAGGTAGAAGGGGTGTTTGTGAAGAAAGAATTGAGGAACCCCAAAACAAATACCCAGGCTGCTATAGGGCTACCCAGACTCCAGGAAAGAGTTACTCTTAAGATTGTGCGCCCTGCAAAGCACGGGGACCCTTTCCAACGGGAGAAGCTGAATGAAGGAACATTAAGCCAAAGTGCCTTGGGGTTGGGGAAATTCCAAGAGTCACAAATAGCGACCCGGCTATCAGGATGCTTCTAGTGCATTTGAAGGAAAGGGGTTCAGTCTGGCCTTTTGCGCCTACTGGAATAGAAGCCCGGTGCTTTCAGGGGAGGGATGCTTTGAACGACCGGTTTTCAGATCTGCTCTGCCTAGAGTCTGAGATTCTAGCTCCCTAGCTTAGGCTCAGACTCTGAGCTGTGTGGGCTCTCCTTGGCTTTCAGCGCCCCGTGACCGCAGACCTCGGTGCTCCTTTAGAGGTACCAGAAGCGACCATCTGTCCCTCTTAGAGCATTTCTGGCGGCTCCAGCCTCGGAACACCGTTTCACTTCTGCATGCACCAGGGACCAGCAGCGGGCCCGCAAAGCACCCGCTTACATGGAACTCTGCTCCGTGTGTCCAAGGCGAGCGGACAAAGAGAGGCCTCTGAGGGCACAAAGGGGGAAAGCGGCGTCCACACAGCGGACTTAGTAACTCTGAAGCGGATTGCAATCGAAAGCAGCTGCCACAGATGCTGGCGCCTGGCTGCGCATCCAGCGTCAGCAGGCTTTTTGTGTTGTGTTTTGTTTTCCCCATTCTGGAGAATCCCGGAAGATGACTTTCTTGGCCCTTCTACTGTCCCACACTGCCCTCGCTGCAGGAAATAACGAAAGCATCGAGTGCGAGGTCTTCGTCTATCGCTAGGCAGATCAGCTCCAGAGAGAGCCTCCCCGTCCCCGCCCCGCCCCCCTCCCCCAGCAAAATCAGACCTGATAAGGCCCTGCACCCTGGCAGGAGTCGAGGCCCACACTCTGGGCTTTGGAAACTAGGTGGGAAGTAAAGCCAGCAACAGAGACATCTCCACCCTGGAGGCGAGCAACTCTAGGCCCTTGATGCTCTGGTTGAAACCAGCCTTCAAACAAAGGCTAAAATCAAAAGATGATGGGGAGAACAAGGGCAGAGGACATCGATGTTGAGGTCTCGTGTCTATGCACACCCGAGAGTGAAGGACAGGCCTGCAAACTATGACCCCACATAGGGGCCAGGAAGACAGCCCTGGAAAGGGAGCTGGGGGCACCAGGTCATAATCTACTAAATCCTTAGTCTTCTGTGTCTCAGAATTTAGAAGCACTCAGTGGGGCTAGAAGAGCCAGGTTTGTGAGTTGGTGCTGGCATTGGCCTTGCTCCAAGCCTGGCACAACGCTGCCCTTTCAGCCTGCTAGACCACAAACACCAGATCATTGGGGAAGCAGCATGGCTTAACCAAGGTTCATTGGGTATCATGGAGGGAGGGGATGAAGTGCCCACTGGAGACCTGGGAAGATAGTCTGGGAGATCCAGAAGGAAGCAGCACTAGGCCGCTGGGCAGCAATCACTTTCTACTAGCGTCTCCCGAAGACCGCTTCCTCGAAGACACC